TGTCTCAATTCTAGGCCTGTATACATACACACGTGCATGCACCTGTGTGTGTGTGTGTGTGTGTGTGTGTGTGTGTGTGTGTGTGTTCCCCCCCGCAAAGGTAACAAGTCCTTAACAATGCATTAAGGATATACAGACAAAGGCAGTCAGGCTCTCTACTCTCAAGGAGTCCCCAGAGCAGTCGATAAAGAAGCATGCACAGAAATCAGTGCAATTAACCACAATGGATGTCCACACAAGGGTACAAAGAAAAGAGCAGGAACAAAAAGGAGCAAAACAAAATAACATCTGAACTTTCTTCATAAATTATAAGGAGTTACTGTAATGCTTTTATTACCAACATATGTTACTTAGCCTGACTTAAAAAGGAGTACTTCAATAACTGTCCTATTTTTCAGAGGTTATCATAATGGTCAAATGAGATCAGTGTCCCATGGTTGATGAAATTACAGGTCACTGTTTTCCTCCTCTACCCTGGGCAGTACTTGACAAACTTTCTGAAAAATATTTATATCTTGATAATCAGTGAACAACAAAACAAAAACAGATTAGCAGCTCTTAGGATGTATGACACTTCAGAAGTATCGAACTTACACTCTTAGTCTACCGCAACTTATACTTAATTACGTTAAAGCTAAAGATGTTATATTTTCAAAGGGTTATGCACACAGCCCTGGACTTTCAGGAACTGCTCTACCGGAACATTAGGAGAAATTTATTTACATAAGAGGACCTCTAAGGATCCTTCCATCTCAGCTCAAATGCCCCACAGGGTTAGGCCCACCTTGTTGCTCTACCACAACATCTTGCTTTTTCTCTCTTCCTATCATAAGCCTGCAACATCTCTGGTCATTTGCCATTTCTGCTCCCTTATTCCCTGGCAGAATACAGGCTCTCGGAGAATAAGACCTTGTCTGCTTTGTGCCTTACCACCCCGCCCTCCATCTTCATCACCTAGCAGACAGCACCTAGAGCACAGCTGGGGTTCACTGAACATTTGTTAAACACGCCCAAGTCACTCGGCACCCAATCCTCTCCCCCAATGGCATTCCCACCATTGTCACTAATTTCTCCTGAGCTCCCATCTCTATCGCTACAATTTAAACTATCCCCCAAAGCGTTAATTAACGTGAAAACCACAGAAAAGAGGAATTCAAAGCAATAGAGGATAATCAGCTATTCTCTAGGCAAAACAGCAGCTGCATTTGCTCCACGAGTTCAGGATCTCACTCGAGGCAGAGCTTGGGACCATACTGAGCTTTACAATTTTTCGTGGCCTCTTCTCAATTCAGTCCCAACACACACGCCCCCGCCCCATATATTCTATACTGCATCTCCGTTCCACAACTGACGAACCTGAGGCCAGGCAAAACGAAGCACACTCGCCTCGTGTCGCACAGGAGTGCCAGCGACCAGAACTGCAGGGAGCAGAGAGCAAGAGAAGCAAACTCAAGTGCATATAGGACGGCATCAGCCAGAATGGGCTCCGAGGTGGGTCCCGAGAACCCTTTATATTCTTTACACAGAGAATCTCGATATGGTGGTTCATGAGGATCATGGCTATTGATAGTTATCATATCGGAAATTAAAAAAATAAATTCTTAAATTACTTTAAATTATCTATTCATTTAAAAATAACAATGAACCTATTACATGTCAACAGGTTTTTGTTTGTTTGTTTTTGGTCTATGAAAAAAATCTTCAAAACAAAAAAGAAATTTGGTGAGAAGATGCTTTTACGTTTCTGCAAACCCTTTCAATGTCTGGCAGAATGGAAGACACCTGGGTTCTCACATCACCCTCTGCAGTCAATCTGTTGCAATATGTTGTTTGGGTTGAAGCATATGAAGAAAATCTACCTCCTGCAGATGTGTCTTTGGAAATGGGAGGGATAGTTTAATGGTGTTGTCAAATAATTACAGATAATCTTCTTTAGTACTACGTCAAAACTTGACAGGTGTAGTTTCCTTTTTTTGGGGGGGGGGACGACAAGTGTGGTTTCTTAAAAGGTCATTGGAAACGATGCAGCCACTTTGGAAAACAGTCTGGCAGTTCCTCAAAAAGTTAAGGATGGAGTTACCGTGTGGCCCATCAAGTCCACTCTGAGGACCATACCTAAGAGAACTGAAAACATATTTCCAAATAAGACGGATATCTAAACTGTGAATAATGTTCTGTTGTATTTGGAACAGAATATTATTCACACATAAAAATGAAGTACTAATGTATACTACAACATGGATAAACCTTAAAGTCACTGGCTTCGAACTGAAAGAAGCCAGACATAGAAGAATACACGTTGTATGATTCCATCTACATGACACGTCCAGAACAGCAAATCTATAGAGACAGAAAGTTGACTAGTGGTTGCCAGGAGTTGATGGGCAGGGATAGAGAGAGGCGACCGTGAAAGTGTTTCTTCGTGTTCGATAGGCTGCGGGGGGGTTGTAGGGAAGATCGCAGAGCAGACGGCATCTGAGTCAAGACATGAAAAATTAGTTCGAGAAGGAAGGAAAAGTCATCCCAATTAAAAAGACGCACGACTCACTCGTTTGTTCAACCCATATCTGAGTGCCCGTTAAGTGCCTGGCAATATTCTCAGGGGTGAGATTCTATGAGCAACACAGACAAGGTCCCTGTTCTCAAGAAAATTACCTTCTAGAAGGAAGAGAGAGGGAAGACAGATAAGTAAATGAACAAGAAATGTCCAGTTAGTGATTCCTACTACAAAGAAAATAAAGCAAAATCTATGGGCAAGGAACCTTAATTTAAATTGTGTCACCTGGTGTGGCCTGAGACAGCAACAGTCTGGCCTGAAGTGCTGAAGTGACAAAAAAAAAAAAAAAAGAAAAAAAAAAAACACCTCACCATGCAGTGACCCTGGAATAGAGTCTAGAGTTTTATCTGAGTGCAAGAGAAATCCAAAGGAGGATTATACCCAGGGGAGTGCTGTGCTTCCCCCCCCCCACCCCCCACCCCCTAGATTATCAACCCTGTTCACTGCTGGGTAGAGAAACAGACTGCCAGACAAGAAAGGAAGCAGATACCTGCTGGTGAGCTACTGCAGTAGTCCAGATAAGACAGGAAGGTAGTCCCACCTAGGGTGACAGCAGTGACAATCATGAGAAAGGAACAGAATCAGGATACACTGTGGAGGTAGATGCAGTACTTTAGATGTGGGGAGTGAGGGAAAAAAGGAAGTATTTGTGGCTTGACTACCTGGTGAAGAGTAATGCCACTAATTGAGCCTGGGAAGACTGGAGAGGAAGTGTCGGTGGTGGAGAATCAAAAGTTCTGTTCTGGCCAAGGATGAGAAGCCTACGACATATTCAAGAAGATGTCAAGTAGGCAGGTGCATAGAAGAACTGAGGGTTTCTGTATAGGTCTAGGCTAGAGCTATAAATTGGGATATCAAGAGCATACAACTGGTATTTAAGCACTGGGTCAGAGAGAAAGGCAGAGATCTGAGTCCAAGATTACTATAACACTCAGTGGTCCACCAGACAGAGAAGGAACAACATGTGACCACAAGAAAATATCTGTGAGGCTGCAGAAAACACAAGTCCCTGAAGCACTTAGTTCATGCATGTCACCAACACATCCCAGTCAATATAAGAGGCTCACAACTCTCAGCCTCTCTGTTTGCCTAAGGTAAGAGATGGGGTACCGTTCTCTAATCTTCACTTAGCTCTCCCACCAATCCCATTTAACTAGGGTGACCACACAGTTCATTTATTTGCTATTCGTTAATATATTTTATTTATGAACTTGACCCTTGGGAGTCAAAAAAGGAGCTTTTATTAATAACTACATCAGAGCAACAGCATAAACCGGATCATCCCTGATTACGCTGTGAGGTATGCGCACCCCTTCCAAAAACCCAAACGCTCAAACCATACGTCTGAACAAACTTTCAATTGCTTTGGCCGCATTTCTCACCAAAGCATCCTGCCTTTTCTCCCAGAAATTCTCACATGGGAAGAAAAACTAACGGGATGGGGAGGTAAAAAGAAAATTCCATCCAACCGAGTTATGCACAGAAGGTTACCTCGTGGGTCCTGCTGGGTCTCCCGGATGAACTGCTGAGCCCTCAAAGTAAATGCAGGCGAGGCACGCAAGCTCTGGTCTCGCAATTCGGCTTCTTACCATCCCTGCCTCTCTGAGCCTCAGTTTCCCCCGCTGCAATCTGGAGACACCCAACCCCCAGGTCTGCCAGGAGAATGAAACAAGAAATGCACGCCCCCTCTAAGCCCTGGCCCCCGCAGGTAGAAGGCACGCTGATGGCAGTAAGGGTAAAAACCACAGCTAAGGGCCGACACACCTGGGTTCGAGTCCCACCTGTACCCCTAGCCTAGCAGCTCCTTCTCACCCGGGCACCAACGAAATGGGCAGGTCCCTTCGTCCATCCTCAGTCCCAGCGCACCGGACTCTCGGACACACGGGCAGCGCGGCTGCAGAGGGGGTTCCCCCCAAGCCGGGGGAAACCAGGCGGCCGGGAGAGCAAAGGTGGGAGAGCGGCGGGCAGCCACTGACCTGCTTGAAGGTGCTGCTGAGGAAGTAGACGAGCGAGAGCCCGAAGACCAGGGCGAGCACCCACCTCTTCCGGAGGAGCCGGCGCCACACCATAGCCGCCAGGTTCACCATGCCGGCGCGGACGCGGGGCGCGGCGGCCGGGGCGCACAGCGGGGAAGGCCCGGGGCCCGGGCGGCATGGCCCCTATACGGCCGGCGGACACATTAACCGCGGCGGACGCCAGCCCCCCGGCGTTCGGTGCAGCCAGCTCCCGGCAGCCACCCCGCGTCGCCCCACGTGACCCCTCCCCATGCCCCGCCTCCGCTCCGCTCAGAGGGGCCAGGCAGCCTCGCTCGGCTCCTCGCTATTGGTCCCTGAGAAGCGACGGGCTCCTATTGGCTGAATCCCGAAAAGGGGGCGGGCAACCGCGTGCGCACAGCAAGAGGAGCCGCGCCGCGCTGCGGTCTTAGCGCCTGGCTAAGGCTACCTGACAGAGAACCCAACAAGGGGCCGGAAGCACTCGGAAGTCACGTGCTACCCGGGCCGCGCGCGTGATTGGCTTGGGAGGAGGTGAATGATGCCGCTGTGATTGCCGAATTGTCTGGGCAGGTAAAAAGAACGCGGTTTTTTTCTCCGGGGATGGTTCGTATAGCCTCCTGCCCTTGCAGTCCTAGGGCGTTTTGTGCTGAACGTTGGTTGCAGAAATGAGAGACGCTAGCGGCTTTTTTCCCAAAGTGCACCTGCCTCTTTCCAGTGCATGTAACGCAGGGGATGCTCTCGCGTGCATTTCGGTGCATGTAACGGCCCCGGGGGCGCAACTGAAAACGAAGCATATATTGAAAAATCTCAGGGTAATTCTTCATGGGGATGTAGAACAATGAATGGAACAGAAGGTTAAGAGACGTTTCATTCAATCATTCAGATGCATCCCACGTGCAGAATTTTGTTCTGGAATTCGGTATAGGAATAATTACGTGTGGCCTGCTTCCAACGTTTATTTATTTTTGGGACAGAGAGAGACAGAGCATGAACGGGGGAGGAGCAGAGAGAGAGGGAGACACAGAATCGGAAACAGGCTCCAGGCTCTGAGCCATCAGCCCAGAGCCCGACGCGGGGCTCGAACTCACGGACCGTGAGATCGTGACCTGGCCGAAGTCGGACGCTTAACCGACTGCGCCACCCAGGCGCCCCACGTGTGGCCTGCTTCCAACAGAGAACCTGAAGCCCCTCAAAATTGAGCGAGCATCTCAAAGTAGACTCTTGCACATGTGATTTTGGAAGCTGTGTCAAATTCGTGGGTGGAAACTTTGGGAGCTGTATTTTTTCCCCCAAGGATTTGCAAGTGATGGGGGGAGGGGGGCGTCTTTGGGAGGGGGCGTTAAGGTGACATTGCAAGTTCTTGAAGAATATTTACATAATGAACATTCCTTCATATGTGCAGATGGTGATACTGACCCACTTCTTAGCTGAGTTTTCAAAAGAGAAGAGAGGCTTAGCCACTGAATTGTCTCCCTAATCAGCTGCCCTAGTAACACCAATGCTGCCCCCTGAAGAAGGTGGTCATGATTAGGAAATCATGCAAAACCAATTATGATGTACTCAACCTACGATCTTTGATCCTGATGAAAAAAAAAGTATATATATATATATATATTTTTTTTTTTTCGAGGCTAAACCTATTCATGGAAAGTCTATGGCTTTTATTTCTCTAGGGAGGGAAAAGGGGGTGTACTAAAAAAGTAACTGAGACCCATAGATAAATGTTGAATAAATATTCAAATATTTGTTGAGTCAACTCTGTGCTAGGCAGTGTTCCTGATGCTGAGGTACAGGCGTGAACCAGACATAGGGTGCCTGCTTTTGTGGAATTTACATTCTAATGGAGGACAGATGATAAATAGGCAGACATGTAAGTAAATGGTAAGTTCTATGAAGAAGATGAGACAGGGCACATGGTGGGTCAGGAGGGTGAGAGGAGAAGGCCTCTGGGAGAACGTGACATTTGACCTGAGGAACTAGACAGAAGGAAAAGCATTGGAGGAAGAGAGAACAGCAAGAACAGAGGCCCTGAGGCAGGGACAAGCCAGCAAGTATGAGAAACAAGAGGAAAGCGGTTAAAGGAAGAGGGGAGGGAAATGAGATTGGAAACAGGTGAGGCTGCATCAGGCCGAACTCGTAGGCCATAAAGAGTTTGGATTTTATTTGGGTTGCAGCGTGATGCCATTGGAGGGCCTAAAACATATTTTCTGTGTTCCCCAATCAGGACTCATTGTCTGACAATAGAGCAAAATACATTGAGATAACATTCCCAGGAGTCCTAAAGAGGGCTCAGTGAGAGGCTAACCAGAGATACGCTTAGAGCTACCGTGATGCCCTGAGACATTGTCAGGTTCAAGCCATTGCGTGGACTGTTCCCTGAAGTGTTCTGTTCCGTTCAAGGTTTGGAACCTGATGAGCCCTGGTGACCTGTGCATCCCTCTGCAGAGAAAGAGGAGGGAAAGGCTTGCTTTCTCTGGACTCTAGCGGTCACATCCCATCAGGAGCCCTGAAGGCCCACCTCAAGCATCATCAACATGGAGTTCTGAAGTCCATGTGGCTCCTCACCGTGAACCAGGTGACATGTCTCCGGGAGAATTCACATCCTTATTACCACTTTATTAAACGGGAGGACTGGAAGGAAGCTTTGGGTTTTGGCAACTCCACACCCGCTCCCCACCCCCCCACCCCCCATTCCCCATCCTCAGATGGGGACTCTGAGGCCACAGAGAGGTTGCTGATTTGCCCAAGGTCACACAGCAAGTTAGGAGCAGCATCGGTCCAGAAGCCATGTCTTGTACTGCCAGTCCGCTGCTTACCTCCTGTTGTCATCCGACACCTCTTTGCCGCACGGTCCACTGCTTCCTCTCATGTGAAGACTCCCTCCACCCCTGGGTCTCAACATCCTCATCTTCAAAATGGGGTGATAACACTTTCCTCACTGGGATCGAATGTTGAATGGAGGGTTGAATGACATAACAGATGCAAACAGGGTTTGCAGAATGTGAGAGAGGCCTGGGGATGTGAGATAGGAGTCATATTTGTTTACACCAGCCTCGGCAATCTGACCGGCAATGGGAACGTTGAGAGACGCCAGCTCATTCCATGTGTTGACTTTCAGGTCTTAAGGAAAATGCAGAGACGCCACAGCAGCAACACGGATAACGGTCCACCTGAAAGGTAGGTAGACCTCCCCCGGGTTCATTCCATCCGGAGGCTCTGGGCTCGGGTCGTCAGGGGCAACTCCAAATCTGGATTGAGTGACACCTGCCTCTCGGGTTATTTGTTAGATGAGCAAAGGAGATCCGGTGGGAGACTGCTTTGCCCGGTGATGGCATACGTTTCTCAATGCATCGTAGCTTGCTCTAGCTTTGATGGTCATTCCCTAAGCCTGTGTGACAGGTGATTCACTTGACTCGCTGCATCAAAGATTGTTCCCGTAGGTTTTAACTTCTAGAGGTGGAAGAAGATTTCTGTTGCTTACATTTCCTGGGAGAGAGGGACCCGCCTTAGCAGGCAGGGCCACGTGGGGAAGCACCAGTCAGGAGGCAGAAAGAAGCAAAGAGTGAACAGAGGCCACAGCTTTTATTGTGCGTCAGGGGGAAACGGCTTAGGATTGGGTAGCTTGAATAATGTCACCAGGCTCTGGGCTAGAGCGGTGTTCTCTAGGTTTCTGGTACCTGGCCCTGGGGATTTAGAGCAGGGGAAATATTGGCTGGGTGTGCCAGACGCACATAAGGAAGCGGTTGGGGATGCAAACAACTTTGGCTGTTACTTTGGCCCTCTAACAGAGGCCACATAGACCAAGAAAATCTAAGAAAACACGGTTAAAACCCTCACGAGCTAGAATTACTGTCTGGTGAAATCCAAGAGAGTACACACCATGGGGACCTGTTCTTAGATTGTGATGCTCTCCCCCTGTGCTGGCCCATACGTCCGAGGAGCCGGCAACTGAACTTTTCCTCCTTCGCCTCCCATTCTGGGTCCCCCACAACCCCAAGGTTGACTACAGAATCCCAAAGAGTATTAACTGGTCCCATTAAGACTGAGTTTTGGGGCGCCTGGGTGGCGCAGTCGGTTAAGCGTCCGACTTCAGCCAGGTCACGATCTCGCGGTCCGTGAGTTCGAGCCCCGCGTCGGGCTCTGGGCTGACGGCTCGGAGCCTGGAGCCTGTTTCCGATTCTGTGTCTCCCTCTCTCTCTGCCCCTCCCCCGTTCATGCTCTGTCTCTCTCTGTCCCCAAAATAAATAAACGTTGAAAAAAAAAATTTTTTAAAAAAGACTGAGTTTTGCATCAAGCCTGCCTGTTCTGCCAGGAAGAGCAGTGACCTGAAGTCAGATGACCCTTAGCCAAAACCCCAGCTTAGCCATTTTGCACCTACGGTGCCTTTGGCAAGCAACTTCACCCCCGAGCCTCGGTTTCCCCATCCATAAAGTCTGGATAATAAAACTCAGGGTTGTTTCTGAATAAGTGAATGAGCATGAAAATGCAGGAACACGGTATCCAGCGCATAATAAGCGTGCCTCTTGGAGCTGTCCTAGCCTCTGAAGACACAATTGCCATCTGCTGTCAAGTGAACCTTGAGGTCTTTGGGGGCAGAGGCCACAGCAGAAAAACAACGGCCACGGTGTGTTGTGTGCCTACCCTGTGCCACCCTCACATTAGCCTGACGAGGTCAGGACTATTTTTATCCCTGTTCTTACAGATAAGAAACTGAGGCTCAGAGAGGGGAAGTAAATTACCAGAAGTCACACAGCCAGGAAGCAGCCAGAAGGCCCTAGTCCATTGCCCGCCATAGTCTATGCTTTCAGTCACCGCATTACGACTGCCTCCTATCTGGGTGGACCTACTTCTCCTGGGCCGCCTCACATTCTGGCCCCTAAGTGGTTAAGTTGGAAGCCTCTGCCCTCCAAGGAATATTCTTTCCCATTTAGGCTGAAATCTCGGCTGGATACCGGGGAGAGGCCCAGGGAATGGAGGCCCGCTATAAAAAGCTCCTTGGTGGGTTGAGTCTTCCCTGATTGTACCGCAGGCCCCCTGAGCCCAGTGAACTCCAGGCTGGTGAGCTCACAGGGGGCCAGGAAGGCTTTCCATGGCCCGATGGGGGAGAAAGCTTGGCCCCTGTGTGGGTCAGCATGGGCACCTGCCAGGACTCCTGCTTTCTGAGCTCAGTTTCTTGAAGTGCAGAAAAAGCTCACGGCCCCTTGAGGGTCATAGCCATGGTGTCTGTTGTTGTTGTTGTTGTTAATATTACTTTAATGTTATCCCGAGCCCAGGTAGTAAGACCATACATCTCCTGGGTTTTGGAGCCAGCAGGGATGGGCCGTGGGGTGGGGTTATAACTTTCCCCCCAGGTCAAGTTTGTGGAGCCAGAGAAGCCAACCCTGAGATTTCTCCAGGTCAGCATTTCCCCTGCTGGGCTTCACAAGTGTCCTATAAGATGTGAATAGTTTAAAGAATTCAATGGTCAAATAAGGTTGGGAAACACGAAGTTTCAACAAAATCAGAAAATGCAGTTGCAGGCCTTCTCAGAGCCTTTAGTATGTTCATTCGGTCATTACCTCAAACAGTATTTTTTGAGCGTGCTCTGTGTGCCAGGTGCATTTGTGCTGGGCAGGAGAGAGACAGTAGGAACAAACAATCATGATGTTTGACCTCTTGGAGCAGGGTCCTGTCTAAAGTGCTATTCCCAGTGCTGAGTGACGATTAGAATCACCTGGAGGGCTGTCAGGAACTAGTGATGTCAGGGCCCACCTCCAAAGGTTTTGATTCAGTTGGTTAACACAGGGTCTCAGGCACCTGTATTTTTCGGAAGCTCTGAGTCTGTTTCTTTATTTGTAAAAGAGGAATGACATTAGTCCCTATCCGTAGAGGGTGTTTATCTGTGCCTGCAGGAAGTTTAGAATGGGAAGCTCTTTTAGTGGGAAATAATCATCTATGTGTTTTTTAAAAAGCATCCTGTTCTCTTGAGTGGACAGTAGATCATACAGAGTCCTGTGTGATGTGCCTGGATGATAGCTTGCACACATTTATTAGGTGCCTACTGTTGTGCCCTGGGTTGTGGGGTCCAGAGAATGAATGAGACTCAGCTCTCACATTCAGGAAGATCATGGTGTATTTTAAGTACCATAGAGGTCTGGGAGGTGCCTTGGGGGCCCTACTGCAGGGTGAGAGAAGGGAGGGAAGGGGAGGGAGGCTCTTCACTCCTCCCCCCGACACATGCACGTATAGCAAATCAGCTCCACTTATATCTGTGGTGTAGACTGAATTTCAAATGGTCCCATTTGAAAAGAAGACAAGCCCAAGACGGAAGACATCCAGAACTCCAGGTCCTCGTGTTCATGGAAAGTGTACCCAGTTCGAGGGTCTCTCCATTCTTATAGGGGTAATTATTCTGGGCTCTCTGCTCCTCCAGTGATGACTTTGAAAAAAACCACAGAATCCTTTGCTGGATTCCAATACAGCAAGCTTTGTTTGGAACTAGAGAGGGCAGTTGGCCCTGGGGGTCTTTCCCTGGGGATTAGAGGTAATCATCCCCATGTATTGAGCACCTGCTATGTGCTAGGTACATTGAAAAGGATGTTCTAAATTTGATCCCACAGGAGTTGTGTGGATGGATGATGTTTATGCCATTTTTCAGGTGAGAAAACAGTGCAGGGTTGGTAAGACCTCTAGGAAGGGTGAGGGCCACCTGGGTGGCTCAGTCGGTGAAGCGTCCAACTTCAGCTCAGGTCATGATCTCACGGTTTGTGAGTTCCAGCCCCATGTTGGGCTCTCTGCTCTCAGCACAGAGCCTGCTTAGGATCTTCTGTCTCCCTCTCCCTCTGCCCCTCCCTCTCTCACTCTCTCTTTCTCAAAAATAAAAAAACGTTAAAAAAAAAAAAAGATCTTTAGGAAGGGTGGAGCTGGAGTTTGAATGCGGGCTTCTCTCTTGATTCTTCTTTACTTTTTTTTTTTTTTAACGTTTTATTTATTTTTGAGACAGAGAGAGACAGAGCATGAACGGGGGAGGGGCAGAGAGAGAGGGAGACACAGAATCGGAAGCAGGCTCCAGGCTCTGAGCCATCAGCCCAGAACCCGATGCGGGGCTCGAAATCACAGACCGCGAGATCGTGACCTGAGCTGAGTCGGCCGCTTAACCGACTGAGCCACCCAGGCGCCCCAACTTTACTTCTAATACTGTGTGCTGCTCTCCAAATACCAGCCAGTGACCAAGAGGCTGGGCCCTCTTGGAAACTGGGAGTCATTGAAGATTATAGGGCCAGGGGTCTCTGAGTTCCTGAGGTTCATAGATTCTGGAATCTGGATTCTGGGATCATAGATTCTATGCTAGCTTTTCTGTAAAGTATAGAGGTTGAGAAAGCAGGCTCTGGAGTTAGCTAGTTGAATCTCTCTTGTTCTGTCTCTTACCAACTATGTGGCTCAGGACATGTAACTTTCTCTGTGCCTTGCTTTCTTGATCTGTCAGATGGGGGTATTATTAGTACCTAATTCATGGGGTTGGTTGGAAGGTTTAATGATATAATCAATGAGGAGCCCTTAGAAAAGTGGCCCCCTATTGCTATTATTATTTGTGTTAGTTTTACACGGCTTCTGTGACAAGGTACCACATGCTGGGTGGCTTAAACATTAGGGATTCACTTGGGTGCCTGAGTGGCTCAGTCATTTGAGCATCAGACTCTTGATTTCGGCGCAGGTCATGATCTCACAGGTCTGTGAGTTCAAGCCCCAAGTTGGGGCTTGGGATTCTCTGTTTCCCCTCTCTCTCTGCCCCTATCCCTCTCATTCTCATTCTCATTCTCTCTCCTCTCTCTCTCCTCTCTCTCTCTCTCTCTCTCTCTGAAAATAAATAAATAAACTTAAAAAAAATTAGCAATTTATTGTCTCACAGTTCTGGAAGCTAGAAGTCCAAGATCAAGGTGTGGACAGGGTCAGTTTCTTCTGAAACTCTGTCTTTGGCTTGTGGATGGCCTCCTCCCCACTTTGTCCTCACGGGGTCTTCCCTGTGTGTCTGTGTCCTAATCTCCTCATGTAAAGACACTAGTCATGGGGCGCCTGGTTGGCTCAGTCGGTTGGGTGTCCGACGTTGGTCAGGTCATGATCTCACAGCTCATGAGTTCGAGCCCCACGTTGGGCTCTGTGCTGACAGTTTGGAGCCTGGAGCCTGCTTCGGATTCTGTGTCTCTCTCTCTCTCTGCCCCTTCCTGCTCATGCTCTGTCTCTCTCTCTCTCCTTCAAAAATAAATAAACATTAAAAAAAATAATGATAAAGACACTAGTCCTATTGGATCAGGACCCACCCTAATGACGTCATTTTAACTTAATCACCCCTACAAAGACCATGTCTTCAAGTACAGCCACTTTCTGAGGTCCCGGAGGTTAGGGCTGCAACACAGGACACGATTCAGCCTGTAACAATATTGGTACTGTTATTTGTACCCCCCGCCCATCCTCCACTGGGGTGCTTATCTCTCTGTCTGACTTGGTGGGGCTCTCTCTTCCCTCCTGGCCCAGAAATCGCAGCCAAGCGCTCAGCTCCGAGGCGAGCGTGGATGAAGGCGGCGTCTTTGAGAGTCTGAAGGCAGAGGCGGCCTCCCCACCTGCACTCTTCTCCGGCCTCCCCGGCCTCCCTGCCAGCAGCCTCCCCACCGCCCCATTCCCATCCAGCCTGGTGCTGGGGGCATCGGCCGGAGGCGGGGACGTGTTCATCCAGATGCCAGCGTCCAGGGAGGAGGGCGGGGGCCGGGGCGAGGGGGGCACCTACCACCACCGCCAGCCCCTCCATCACTTCCATCACGGCGGCCACCGCGGGAGCTCGCTGCTGCAGCACGTGGGTGGGGACCACCGCGCTCACTCTGACGAGGGGGGCGACGAGCAGCCAGGGACGCCCGCCCCTGCCCTGTCCGAGCTGAAGGCCGTGGTCTGCTGGCTCCAGAAAGGCCTGCCCTTCATCCTGATCCTCCTGGCCAAAGTGTGCTTCCAGCACAAGCTCGGTGAGTCCAGTGGGTCCCGGGTGTGTCAACCGGGGGCTTCACCTGCCGGGTCGGGGACAGGAGGGGTTCATCCCGAGTGCCAGGGCAAGGCAGCAGAGGTCTCCATGGTGCACGGTGCTTACGGTGCTTAGGATTATGGGATTCTGAGTGAGGCCTGGGTTCCAGTCCTGGTTGACCAGCTCTGTCGACCTGGGACAAGTCAGTCACCTTCTCTGAGCCTGTTTCTTCCTCTGGGCTGGGGAGCTTGGCATGTGTCCAGCAGAAAATTTGCTGATTGGTGGGTGTGAAGCAATAGAGGGTAGTGACCTTTTAATGTTGCTCACGGTCCCCAGTAAGCTAGGGCCAGGCCCGATGGCATCTAAGTGGGTGGAGTCAGACCCTCCTCTGTCCCGCAGGCATTGCCGTGTGCATCGGGATGGCCAGCACCTTTGCCTATGCCAACTCCACGCTGCGAGAACAGGTCTCTCTGAAGGTGAGTCACCTGGCGAGTTAGTCTCCAAGGTTGCTGTAACGCGTGACTACAAACCCAGCGGCTTAAAACAATACAGATTTACCCCCTTATAGTTCTGTGGATCGCAAGTCTGAAGTGGGTCTCTCTAGGTGAGGGTCATGTGTCAACACAACTGTTCTTTCCAGAGGGTTCAGAGGTGATCCCCTTGCCTTGCCTTTCCCAGGTGCTAGGGGTGGCTCATGGCCCCTTTCTTCCTCCTTTGAGCCAGCAACCAATGTTCCACCTCTGTGCCCACCTGCCCCTAGTCCCTTCTCCTTCTGTCTCCTCTTCCACTTTTAGGGACTCTTGTGATTACATCAGCCCCAGCTGGACAGTCCTGGAGTCTCTCCCCGTCTCGGGGCTAGCTGGTTAGCAACCTGAATTCCCTTTGCCATGTAAGCAGACATATCCACAGGTTACAGGGATGAGGACGGGGACACCTATGGGAGGCCTATGAGAGGCTGTTCTTCCGCCTGTCCCCCCGGGACACATCGCCTGCCATCTTTCTCCCAACCTTTCCGACAGCAGCGTCTCCCCCCCACGCCTGCCCCCGGCACCCTCATCTGCCTGGCTTCTCTCACGGTTAAGAGAGAACATCCCGCCGGCGTTCCAGCTTCACACCAGCATCATCCAGAATTGCCATCTAATATCCGCTTGGCGCTAACCTCGCCCAGCGCAGAGCCGGGCAGACGGCACAGCTCATCTTGCAGATTTGTCCCGGCAGCCCAGGAGGGAGTCAGAATCGTTCTTACCTCATTTTCCCAGCGAGGAAACGGTGGCTCAGGGACACTACGTGCCTTGCATACGAGGTCACACGGTCCGTGAAAGTGGTGGCGTCAGGCTGTGAACCCGGGCCTTGGGCCCACAGGCTGTGCTCACCCCAGGCTGATATCCCAGCTTCTCCAGCCGCCTGCACACAGGCCCTTGGATAGGTTACCTTGGTGATCTCAGTCCCAGGTGCCCCCCCAGAAGATGAACCATTCAAATGAGATAGTGCCTAGGCATTTAGCACAGGGCCTTCCGTAGAGGCAACGTTTAACTGAGCTGCTTGTAACCAGCATGCCCCTTCTGCGGTGCAGGTGATCCCAGAACAGCCACCATCCTCCCTGACCCTTCTCTGGGTCTTTCTCAGAAGCATCTGGGCCTCTATGAGGGCAGCTCGGTCTCCATTTGACACATGAGCACGTTGAGGCCCAGGGTTGGGCGCGGGGCCATAGCTTCCTCATGACCCTCGGTCTCCTCTTCCTCACGCACACCCCTTTCTGCTGCTGTTAGAACAGCAGGTTGATCAACGCCACAGTGGGGCACTTCTAGGACTGGCTCTCTCTGTTAATGCAGTAACATCCAAGTGGTGCCTTGGCTTACATTTTAGGGGGCAAAAGAGTGCCTGTATCCATCGATAGGCATTCCAGGCAGGGATCCTTGAGCCCTATGAAGACACAGGTGATGTTTTGCCCATCTGTACATATTTTCTGCAAAACAGATTCTGCATGACCCTCAGTAAGTTTAGAAATATCAACTTACTGCTAGAGAACTCTCCCCTTTGTCCTTCAGAGTTTGGCTTCCCAGGGCATTGCTAATTCTCTCTTTGTATTCCTCCTTTGGTTTGGATTTACAGGGGGATTAGGCTGGAATCCATTATTTATTGGAGTAAGAAGGGCTCCTGAGTAGATTATTCACATTGATAAGAGCCGTGGGTTGGTTGGAGGTGGTTTCTAGGGTCATTAACCTTGACCACGCCTGGAATAATGGGTGGATGGAGATGCATTTATTTTGCCTACTCTATGGAAATGTGCTTTGTAACCGTGCACGGAGCACTGATCTGTGTCTGGAGACAGTGGAGCATTTACCAAAACCGCAGGGAAGGTTACACTGAGAGAGTTATGACCTCATCTGATTCCAGCAACGCAGCCACCCTGATCCAGGAAAAGATGAGCTTTTGAGAGTCAGCAGCACAGGGGTCTGTGTGCATGTCTCCCCAGAATGCATGCACCCTACTCTGTACCTTCTCCACAAATTCCTTGGGATCGCTCTCAGCTGGAGAAGCTGCTGGGAAATAGGAAACCAAGTAGGTTTTCCTTCTCGTCTTCCTGGGGACTCATCAGAAATGCGGCTGGAGAGGGGCACCTGTGTGGCTCAGTTGGTTGAGCATCTGACTTCGGCTCAGGTCATCATCTCATGTATCCTGAGTTCGAGCCCCGTGTTGGGCTCTATGCCGACAGCTAGAGCCTGGAGCCTGCTTCGGATTCTGTGTCTCCTTCTCTCTCTGCCCTCCCCCACTCCCTCTCTCTCTCTCTCCCCCAAAATAAAAAAACATTTAAAAAAAAAAAAGGGGGCACCCGGATGGCTCAGTCAGTTAAACGTCCGACTTCATAGTTCATATGATGTCATAGTTCATGAGTTCGAGGCCCGCATCAGACTCTGGGCTGACAGCTTGGAGCCTGAAGCCTGCTTTGGATTCTGTGCCTCCCTCTCTGTCTGCCCCTCCTCCACTAATGCTCTGTCTCTCTCTCAAAAATGAATAAGCATTAAAAAAAAAATTTTTTTTTTCTAAAAAAAGAAATGAGGTTGGAGAGAGAAGCGGGGATGACTTGGGCAGAGTCTTTGATGGCCTCGTGTACAAGCTTGAATCTAACCCTATAACTGTGGCCGCCCTGTATTGAATGGCCAGGCCAGGATAGTAGCCCAGAAGTCCTAGAAAAAGTGGGAGCGGAACCTGCCAACCTGTAGATCGGAATCTATTGCTGGGTTGTAAAGTCTGAGTAATAGTCCTACCATTCACTGAGCCTGAAACATGAATCCATGGTAGACTGAATGTTTACCTTTAAAACTTTACTTAATCCTTAGCAAAACTCCCATCCTCAAATGAGGGCACAGAGACCTCAAACAAGTGCCCTTGAGCAACAGCTCTTTACCTTCTCTGTGCCCCAGTTCTTTACAGTAAATGTGAACTAACATTTACTGCGTACAGCACTGTTCTGAGCGTTTCGTGCGCGTCAATTCTCACAACTCTGTTGTGGAGACACAGTATATACCCATTTTCCAGATGAGGAGAGGGAAATGCAGAGAGTTTCGGTAACTTGCCCAGTCCTCCGATTACAGGCCGTCCATCTCCAGAATCTTCTGCTAACTGTAGTGCCTTCCTGCCTTTTTCACATAGCAGGTTTCTACATTGGGGGGGGGGGGGGGGCGGGGGGGGTAGAGAGAGAGAGAGAGAAACATAGAGAGAGAGAGAATCCTAAGCAGGCTCTATGCCCAGCACAGAGCCCGACGCAGGGCTCAGTCTCATGACCATGAGATCATGACTTAAGCCAAAATCAAGAGTCAGATGCTTAACCGACTGAGCCACCCAGGCACCCCATGTTTCCACATTTCTGTCACCTGCTCTGTGACCACCCCTTGGGTTCCAGTGGGATGGGAAGATTCCAGCACCCTTCCCTTCACCGTCAGCCCTGCTTCTTCCAAACCTTTGAGAAAGGGGGAAATTGGCACTTGTGAGAGAACATTCTGGAATGTTTTGCCATGTGCCCCTTTGGCATTGCAGCATCCCTACAAATCTCTTGTTTTGTCTCCAGGAGAAGAGATCGGTGCTGGTCATCTTGTGGATCCTGGCCTTTTTGGCGGGAAACACCCTATACGTGCTCTATACATTCAGTTCCCAACAGCTGTACAACAGGTGAGCAGGGCAGGGGTTCTGACCCCTAGTGGGAAAGTGGGGGGCACTTTGCTTGGGACACACAACTCCTTCACTTGGGAACAGTGCAGTGGCTCTGTGTCACGTAACCTTTAAATTCCACCCTCTTGTGTACACGCGTGCCAGAGCAGAGCTGTCTAGTAGAAGTACACCGCAAGCTACGTGTGTGATTTTACGTCTTCGAGTAACCACACAGTGGGGAGGCGTGGGAGGGTCGGCCAGTAAAGACCCGCAGGACTGGGTTGAAACTCCAGCCAAGCTTTCAAATCATGTACATCTGTTTTAAAAATGGACTTTGAGGAATGGGAAGTTTCCCCACTTTCTGGGGCCACCCCATAAAGGCTATTTGGAGAGTTCGTTTTAAGGCATCAACACTCATCACACACAATGCGTTATTGTCTGGCCCAGAATATCAAGGTCCCGATGGGTGGAGGGTGGAGGAGGTGGAGTTTCCCAGAATCTTGGATGAATTTCCAGCTCATGCCATTCTCTGGGCATGATCACATTCACAGGCTCAGACCTCCATGCTCCCATCAAACCAGAGCTGAGTCAAACTGGCAGCACAGAAAGAGAGAGGGAGAGAGCAGCTTAGGAGAAAAGCAACAAAGCTGAACCCCTTCCGTAATGATGTCAATGGTCTATGTGCTTGATACCCGTAGGCATCACCTTATTTTACCAACTCTCAGTGACCCAGCAGGGTACTGATGGCCCCATTTCACGGCTGAGGAAACTGAGGCGTAATGAAGTCTTTCCTAATGAGTCTTAGTCCTGGTAGGCGGCCCTTACCAGCAAGACTGAATCTTCCTAGGATTTGCAATCTGATGACCAGCGTCCTTCCACTGGACCACCTTTGGCAAATAATGGAGCCTCCTTAGGCTTCGCCCTGTTTCCTCATTGGTAGAACGAGGAGCAGGTTATTCTTGCTTTATCCACCTGACAGGCTAATTGTTAGGAAGGCCAAATGCTATAGTGCATGAAAAATACTGGGTAAACGGAAACATTGATATATCATAATCCTATCCTGCTTGATAGTATTCTTTTATAATAAATTACCTTTTATAATAAATGTACCTGTTGGTGGTGGTGCCTAAGGAGGAGTGAAACTGATAATAAAATACATCAGTCCATGAAAGTTCATAGGGTAGTTAGAAATAAGTGGATTTAGTGATCAATCTACAAAAACACTTCGGTCCCGCCCCTCCTCCCAAAGCCAAAACAGGAAAAATCCCCTAAGATGGTGAACTAAAACCCAGACAGATGAATCTGAGACCAGCTGGTGTCTCTGAGACGAGTGGAAGGCAGATCTTAATGTATTGCCATCAAAGAAGCGTAACAGAGAAGCAGAGTGTGGAAGTCAGCTAACCAGCCCAAGATCCCAGGAGGGACAGGAGCAGAGGCAAAGGGCACCTGGGGCTGCCGGACTCTCCCTGGATTGTAACACAGAGGGCCACTCAAACCTGGACGCGAGGCGTCCTCTAGAGGCAAGGCTAGAACGTGAAAAGGACACAGAGGGTATCGGGTAAGGTCGCCAAAATAGATTATTTTCATTTGTTTATTTATTTTTTAACGTTTATTTATTTTTGGGAGAGAGACAACATGTGAGCGGGGGTGGGGGGCAGAGAGAGAGGGGAAGACACAGAATCCAAAGCAGGCTCCAAGCTGTCAGCACAGAGCCCAACGCAGGGCTCAGATTCATGGACCTCGAGATCACGACCTGAGCCGAAGTCAGACACTTAACGACTGAGCCACCCAGGCGCCCCTGATTGTTTTTATTGATTTTGCCCTACTCTAGCTCTTTGAGACTCTTTATTATAAGTAGAAATTGATTTTTTTTAAATAAAAGTAAAAACCAGACCAGTTTGGGGCAGCGGGGTGGCTCAGTCTGTTAAACATCTGACTCTTGATTTCAGCTCAGGTCATGATCTCATGGTTCGTGGGATTGAGCCCCGTTTCAGGCTCTGCACTGACAGCATGCATAGAGCCTGCTTGGGATTTCCTCTCTCTCTCTCTCTCTCTCTCTCTCTCTCTGCCTGCCCCTCCCTCCCCCCCTCCTCTAATAAGTAAACTTAAAAAAAAAAAACAGACCAGTTCATTCCTAGGAGGCTATAATAAGCAATCCCAGTTTGCACCACTTCCTGCCAGCCCAACAGAGTACATCAGAAGCATTCAGAAAGCACCCGTGCTGGGCTGTGTGCACCGGTCCTTACTTTGTAGTGGACAGAGAGGACTTGGTGTAGCCTTTGCTCAGAGCCTGTAATCCAGCAGGAGGAAAAGTGAGTGGACAAGCACAGTTTGGCTGCTGGTTCCTGTTCTGGCTCCCGTTCTAGCCAAGAGCTGTGGGCAGGCAACTGTACCTCTTAGGGCTCCCCCTTCCCCAGCTCAGATTGGAATAATCACAGTGCCTACCTCCTAGAGGTAGGAAAATGAAATGAGTTAAGACATGTAGGGGCGCCTGGGTGGCGCAGTCGGTTAAGCGTCCGGCTTCAGCCAGGTCACGATCTCGCGGTCCGTGAGTTCGAGCCCCGCGTCGGGCTCTGGGCTGATGGCTCAGAGCCTGGAGCCTGTTTCCGATTCTGTGTCTCCCTCTCTCTCTGCCCCTCCCCCGTTCATGCTCTGTCTCTCTCTGTCCCAAAAATAAATAAACGTTGAAAAAAAAAAATTAAAAAAAAAAAAAAGGCATGTAAAGTGTATAGAAGAGGCCAGCATGATGTAAGCAGCCAAGATATTTTAGCTCTTACGTTGTTGTTATAAATAACTTCATCATCCTCTGGGGGTAGAAAGCAGAGCTACTCCAAGTGTGGTCCATGGACCGGTGGCAGTTTGAGAATGGCTTGATGTCTGTGTTTAACAAGGGAAGTACAGGAACTGAGTGTAGAGGTAACTTACCTGGTCCCAAATGGGTAGAACGGGTTTACATACTCTGAGTAGCGCCACTGTGGAATAAAGATGGAAAAGCACGAGCTATAGCTAGGATACCTGGGTCTGAATCTACCTCTGTCCCTTAGTATCTGTAGGACCTTGTACATGTTACTTTCTGTGCCTCTGTTTCCTCATGTGCAAAATGGGGCAGATTAAATAGTACCTACCTCGTGGGTTGCTGTTGTTATCACTGCTGCACAGCCGGGTCTGTCGTACGTCTGTTCTCCTGAATCCCACCAATGACACTATGAAGGAGGGAATGAGTCCCGTGTTGCACGTGAAAACACTGAGGCTTACAGAGATAACATTATTTGCCCAGGGTCCAATAAATAGAGAAAACCGGATTCAAACGCGGGTATGATATTAATGCCCGTATGTTTTTCATGCAACTTACTTCACCTCTCCAACCTTCTGTGCCTCATTTATAAATTGGGAATAAGCAGTGCCCACTGTGGAGGACAATGGGGTACAGTGAGTAAGTAGCTTAGCACAGTGTCTGCACATCAATTTCTCTCCTCCGTATGTCGTGCTGGCCAGCCTACCTGCCTGCCTCCCCTTTGCTTCCTCTTATGAAGCCCGTTGTGGACTCATAAAACTGGAGGAAACCCTAACTAATGAGGCTCCTGGCCAATCTTATTGCATAGCCTTCAGGGGAACTGAGGCTCAGAGAGGTTTAGATACCTACCTGAGGTCACACAGCAACTTAGTAGCAAATTCAGAGACAGGACACAGATATCTGACTCCCCGTTCAGTGCTCTTTCTGCAGGTTATATTCACAAAGCTCCCAGAGTGAGTAGAAAGAGCTTCTAAGGGCCCGGGATCCTAAGTGAGCATCCTGACTCTCTCCCTCCAACCCCCACCAGCCTCATATTCCTGAAGCCCAACCTGGAGACACTGGACTTCTTCGACCTGCTGTGGATTGTGGGCATCGCAGACTTTGTGCTGAAGTACGTCACCATCGCCCTCAAGTGCCTGGTCGTGGCCTTGCCCAAGATCATCCTGGCTGTCAAGTCCAAGGTAGGCATTGGCTGCAGCCACGAGGTAGCCCCATTAACGCCCATCATGCAGGGGATTCGGGGCACCTTCTGGAGGAGGAAAGAATAGGCTTGGGCGGAGCGGATGCCAGCGTTTAAAATAAACAGAGCCCATCACCCACCTCTTACAATTCCCTGAGTCTGAGCCTGGCTTCTCGTTGTCACCACCGTCCTTTGCTCTCCAAGGGCACTGCCTAAGTTTCATTGTTCAAAACTGCCCTTGATGCAGTTTTCATCTAAATCTCACCCGAGAAAGGAAAAAAGTATGTTGACACGTCCTGCTTCTCTCAGGGAAGGGTGGCTTTCATAGGTTTCCACTCTTGTGACTTCAGGAGTGTTGTTTGTTTAACGGCAAGCGTTCTGAGCCTCAGAAGAAATGAGCTCCATGATCGATTAGTGATGTCTGCCGTGGACACAGGACCAGGCGTGGTGGCCGTGGTGCTTTGCCTGCAGGGAAAGGCGTGCCGACAGGTGTTGGGGTGGAGAGGTCTTGGGGGATAACTATTGTCATTCAGAGGACTGAGCGGAGCTAGGAAAAGGCAGCATCTTTAGGGTGTAATGAATGCCTGTGCCTCTGTGAGAACACCTGTAGCAGGGAATCTGGACAGAGGCAGACGCACCAAAGAATCTCTGGAAACTCCTCCTTTCCATTCTGTGAAAGCAGCCATCTTTTCAACTTCAGAAACGTCAGAATTTGGGGCACCCAGGTGGCTCAGTCGGTGACGCGTCATACTCTTGATTTCGGCGCAGGTCAGGATCTCATGATTCGTGTGTTTGAGCCCCGTGTCAGGCTCTGTGCTGACAGAGTGGAGCCTGCTTGGGATTCTCTCTCTCCCTCTCTCTTTGCCCCTCCCCTACTCACAAACTCTCTCTTTTTCTCTCAAGAATAAATAAACGTTAAAGAAAAGAAAAAAGAAAGCTCAGAATTAGTCCCAGGCATTGGTTGGCAGGAGAGCAGGTTGGAACGGGCCATCCATCTAGAAGGCGCCCAAAGCCCTGTGCCAGATGTCTAGGAAAAACACTGCTGTGTCCCTTCTTCACTCACACACTCAGTACTTCTGACCCCACGTGTGTGGGTTTCCCACACATCAGGCAATTCTCCGACACCAGCTGGGTGTCCTACAGTTCAACTCAGTCCTGACACTGTCTACCTGAAGGTGGCATCACGTCCTATGGGTTAAGAGCTCAGTCCCACAAGATGTCCCCACCCCACTTCCGACACCCATTTCTAGTCCAGATCGTCACTTGTGCTTCTGACCGACTGGTTAGAAATCAGGGTTTCCACGACCCACTCCGTGGGTTCAGTCATTTGCTAGGATAGCTCACAGAACTCAGGCGTAACACTCGTTTACCTGCTTATTGTATAATTAAGGATATGGTAAAGGATGCTGATGAACAGCCAGGTGAAGAGGCGTGAAGGCGAGGTCTGGAAGGATCCTGAGCACAGGAGCTTCTGTCCCCATGCGTTGGGGTGCACCACCCTCCTGACCTGTAGACGTGTTCACCATCCCTAAAGTTCTCAGAATACCCTGCACTATTGGGATTTTTGTGGAGACTATCACACAGGCAGGGTGGATCATAAGCTCCATTTCCAGCCCCTCTCCCCTCTCTGGAATAAGGGAGGTGGGGCTGAAAGTCCTAAGCTTCTAATCATGGCTTGGTTTTTCTGGTGACCAGCTCCCATCCAGGAGCCCACCAGGAGTCACCTTATTAGACCCAAAGATACTCCAGGAAATTCCAGGGGATTTAGGAGCTCATTGTCAGCAATCGGGAGCAAAGACCGATAGATATATTTCTTATTATTCACACCAGGGCAGTCTGAGTCCGGTTTTGTCCCTCCACATCGCACTCCCCTCCCCCACCATGTGGTTTATTCGGTTGACCCAAAACCCTCAGCTGTTGTGGTTTCCTTAGATGAAGCCACAGCTCTGGTGCCAGAGGCAGTGCCAGGAGGTCTAAAATGGCCTAAAGACAAAATGGGGAAGAAAGACAGAAGGGAAACAACAGACCTCAAGAAGTCCTGAGATGCCTCCCCACCTGCCCCTCGGAGACCACCGTCACCGTTACCATTTGCCCCCCTGAGCTCACACCATGTATCAAATAGGGGGCGGGGACTTGACAGTGGGAAGCAGGATGGCCCAGGGGTTCCACACGTGGACTTTGGCATTGAGCACGACTCCATTCAGGTCCCAGCTACCCCCTTCCGAGCTGTGTGACTTTGGGCAGATGACAAAACCTCTCTGAGCCTTAATTTCCTCCTCTGTCAACTGATAACAAGAGTGCACCATCCTTCTAAGTACGTAGAAGTAAGTACGAAGAACTAGTAGTACTAGTACTAGTTGCTGGTAGGAAATGGGAACTGCTTTTCCCCATGCCTGGCACACAGCAGGCACTCAGTGATTCACATCGCTTCTTGGCATTGTCTTTATGACCAGCTGTGTGACCTTGGATGAGTTACTCAACCTCTCCGTGCCTCGGTTTCCTCATCTGTAAAATGGGGAGAATAATTGTGCTGGGTGTCTTCCTCTTGCCCCTCCAGACACACTGTCCACATTTGTTTCCCACCCTGCTGTCTGCCCTGGAGGCTGACCCGGGTGAACTGTACCAGCGGGCTCCCGCAGCCCCCAGCTTCCAGCGGGGTTCACCAGGGGAAAGCCTGAAAGGAGAGAGAGGCAGAGGTATTTATTCCTCTTGGGTGTTAGTCTCCTATGGCAGCTGTAACAAACCGCCACATGAATTTATTATTCTTTGGTTCTGGCGGTCACATTTCCAAAATGCGTTTCCCTGAGCTCATCTTTCGGGTCGGCACTGTTCTAAGTGCTGTACACGCATTAGCTCATTGAGTCCGCACCACCCCATGAAGTAGGTACTCTAATTACTACATCCCCTTTCACAGTTGTGGGAGACAGTTCTGAACACACGGGTCCCATCGTGGGCAGCCCCCTGCAGACAGCCTTCCGTCAAGATCTAGTAACTACACTCTCTGCTCACTGCTTCCAGGCGCGGTGGGTGATAACAGCTCCCCACCTGTGGAAGTTTCTCCACCCTGGTTACCTGCCCACACCTTTGTAAAGAGCAGATGTAGTCAGCTCTTCCCCGATTAATAAATGGTTAAAAGACTTAAACACCCTTCACCAAAGCAGATCTCCTGGTGGCAGATATGCACGGGAAAAGATGCTGAGCCTCATTAGTCTTTAGGAAATGACAGTGAAAATCAGTGTGTGAGATGCCGCACTCATCCATGGTGGTGGCCAACACGGAAAGGCCAGACCGCACAGCTGTTCGCACAGGCACAGCCGTGGGCAAAGACCGATAGATATATTTCTGGAACTCACACTTGCGGCGGGAATGTAAATGGCACCTCCACTTTGGAAGCCAGCTTGGAGGTTTCTTGGAAGGTTAAGCATAACACCTGTCGTACAGTCCAGCCCTCCCACCCGTAGGTGCTCACCCAAGAGGAATGAAACCATGTGTCCGTGAAAAGGCTTCTGCATGGGGCGCCTGGGTGGCTCAGTCGGTTGAGCATCCGATTTCGGCTGAGGGCATGGTCTCACGGTTCTTGAGTTCGAGCCCCGTGTCGGGCTCTGTGCTGATACAGGGCCTGGAGCCTGCTTCGGAATCTGTGTCTCCCTCTCTCTCTGTTGCTCCCCGGCTTGCACTCTGTCTCTCTCTCTCTCTCTCTCTCTCTCTCTCTCTCTCTCTCAAAAATAAAGACTAAAAAAAATAGGCAGACAGATCAACAAATTTTGGTGTATCCATGCAACGAAATACAACTCAGCCATGTAAAGAGATGAACTACAGTTGACCCTTGAACCACATGAACAACATGAATTGAACCACTCATACACGATTTTTTTCTGATAAATACAGCATGGTATTATCAATGTATTTTTCTCTTCTTTGTGATTTTCTTTTTTTTTTTTTAATGTTTATTTTTGAGAGAGAGAGAGCACAAGCAAGGGAGGGGCAGAGAGAGAGGGAGACACAGAATTCAAAGCAGGCTCCAGGCTCTGAGCTGTCAGCACAGAGCCCGACGCGGGGCTCGAACCCACAAACCACGAGATCATGACCTGAGCCGAAGTCAGTGCTTAACCAGCTAAGGCACCCAGGCGCCCCTAGTTAGGATTTTCTTAGTATTATTTTTCTCTAGCATAGTTTACTGTAAGAACACATACAACATACAAAACAGATGTTAATCGGCTTTATATTGTCAGTAAGCCTCCCAGTCAACAACTGTAGGCTGTTAGTAAAGTTCTTGGGGAGTCAAAAGTTATATGCAGATTTTTGACTGCACAGAGGTCAGTGCCCCTAAACCCCTGCATTGTGCAAGGGTCAACTGTATTGATACAACATAAATGAATCTTAAAATACTTAACAGTTACGCTAAGTGAAGGAAACTGTAGCAACCAAGAGTGTACCTTATGGTTCCATTTCTATCAACTCTAGAAAATGTAAACTGGCCTATAGTGACAGAAAGCAGATCAGTGGTTGGCTGAAGGGACCTCCCAGAGGGAAGGGATTACCAAGGGGCACAGGGAAACTTCTGGGGGTAACAGATACATTCACTGTCTTGACTGTGGTGATGGTTTCACAGGTGTGTACATATAACAAACTTACCAAATCGCACACTATAAGACAAGGAACCACTGCTGCATCTATACTGCTTCTGTCCGAGCTCCTCCCTGGCGTGGGCTGCTGTGGTCAGAGGCTTATCCTTGGGGCCTCCACTAAAAGTCACTTCTAGGGGCACCTACATGGCTCAGTCAGTAGAGCATACAACTCTTTTTTTTTTTTTCTCTTTTTGAAACCCAAGTTCCTTTTTTTTTTTTTTAACGTTTATTTATTTTTGAGACAGAGACAGAGCATGAACAGGGGAGGGGCAGAGAGAGAGGGAGACACAGAATCGGAGGCAGGCTCCAGTGTCTGAGCCATCAGCCCAGAGCCCGACGCGGGGCTCGAACTCACGGACCGCGAGATCGTGAC